CAAGGGGGTTGATTACGAGATCTCGTGACTGCTTCGATAATTTATTATTCAACGTTTTGACGAGTAATCGTTCAAAGCAACTTTATTCGAAATTTTTAACTATGCCTCGAACTACTTAAATCGTTGAGCAAACGAATGATGCGTTCATTCGAAAACAAAATGGCGACAAGATTTTTAAAAATGCAATGGGAGACACGAAGCGGGTCGAAATAAATTTTTTTTGAATGGAAAGAGCAGGAGGGTTGATTACTTAGGAGATCTCGTGGCTGCTTCATTGTTCAACGTTTTAACGAGTAGTCGTTTTATTCGAAATTTTTAACTATGCCTCGAACTATTAAATCGTCGAGCAAACGGAAGACGCGTTCGTTCGAAAAAAGAAAATGGCGACAAGAATTCTTAAGAATGCGATGGGAGACACGAAGCGGGTCGAAATGAATTTTTGGATAAAAAGGATGGAAAGAGCAGGGGGAAGGTAATTACGAGGAAATGCAAAGCATCGGATTTGAGGAGAGGTGGCAACATGGCGTTATTAACCCCTTCTTTTCGAAAACTCGCGCAAACCGTTCACGTAACCGTTAATTGCGTAAGAAACATTTCCATTCCCGGCCTGCGTTTAGTCAATGGCTGTTTACTTAATTGGAGAAACGTAGCTTCCAAGTGAAGCAATTAATGCGCGTAAATGGGAAAAGTAATCGAGCGAGCGAAGGTCGCCGTTTAAATATTCCTCACTTATTCAATCCTATTGGCTTTCGAATTCTCCGCCCCCTTCAGGGTTTTTTTCAATACCCTTTTCCCTTTGGGAGCGGTCAACTTCCTCCCCCCCCCCCCCCACGAAGAAAGGAAGAAGAGAAATTTTTCTCATTTTTAGGGACGAACGAATTTCGCGACAAAAACTTGATAAGAAGAGAAAAAGAAAAATTCACGGTTGTTGAAACACCTTCCTTCCTCGTTGTAAATTGTAACTCGAGAATGGATATAGTTAAAAATATATTTATCCGTGGGACGAAAGAACAAGGAGAGGACGCGAACACTCCCCTTGAAACTGATGCCTTCTTCTTGCAGAGACCTTGTCCTTCAAATATCAAGCCGGGGATTTGAGGCGGAAAGCCGTCGTTGTAAAAAAAAATAAAAATTCCCAAAACAACGTTTACGGGAGGAGGAGCGAAACAAGCCTTCCTTCCATTCACGTGTCCTCATTTTGCGCACGTGTTGTTTCGTCCACTCGGAAATTTATAAAGTTTTTCACTTTGGAAAAAATGCGGCCAACCCCTCGGCCTTCGTTCCCCAACAAAGTTGGCCCCAACACATTTTTTATAGAAAATTTACGATAACGCCGAAACGCGTTATAAAAAAAAAAAAAAAGAAAGAAGAAAGAAAAACTCGTTCTCTTTTTCACTGGAACAGAGAGAGAGAGATAGCCACCTGTGCAAAAAACACGTTCCTGAACACACGGAACACGTATTCACCGCGAGAAGAGGTGCGAATTTGCGTAAAAATTCGCGGTCTGATCACCTGATGGACCTAGGGAAAAAAAAAAAAAAAAAAGAAAAAAAAATTCCTCCCGAAGAGGAAACCATTTATTCTCTAAATACCATTTATACGAATCGGCGAGCCAACGTTGGATACCGCGTTGGAATCGCGGATGAACAAAGAAACGGAGGGAGAAAGGGGGAGGAATGCGAAAATCAGATTTTGCGTGGCTCCGCGAGATTATTTCCACGGCGAGGGGAGGAGGGAGGAGAGGAGAAATCAGCGGAGGTGCCGACGTGGACGCGGTGTCCTCCTCCTTCCGGCCACGTTTTATAATGCCGGAAAATAATAAGAATTTCGCCCGCTTAGTCCCCCGGGTGCTTACATCCCTATTTATGACGACAGTATCTCGGCCTCTTTATGCCAGCTGCCTGGCAAATATGCGCGGCTCGATCCCCGACTCGGCCCGCCATTTTCTCCCTCTCTTTGCCTCTTCCCCGATCTTGCGGCAGAGGAGGATAATGGAGACGAAGTTACGCGTTTTTCACCTCCCCCTTCCTGTCCTTTTTCATCTCCCTTCTTAAACGATGATGACGAGAGCCGCGTAATCGGCCGATTTCCTCGGCCGAGGGAATCGTATCGCCTATATGACGAGCTTTCCCGAATCTCAGCGATTCTTCGGAAGATACAATGTAAATATATCGTGCAAGGAGCATCAACAAATTTTAATCTCCACCCTAATGCTGATCTCCAAAAATAATTTTTTATCGTTTCAGTGGGATGGCAATAATCCCTCCCTTTCTCCCCTCTCGATATTTCCTCCATTTATTTTCGGGGAAATCAGGTCATCGGGGATTAAACAGATGGAGGGAGGGTAAGAGTGAAACGAAGAGCAACGTCAGCTTTGCAAAGATGGGCGAAATTGTTTCGAAGGGTGGACCACTAAGTTTCCAAGAAGAGAAGAGAAAGTTGGATCGTGATCGCTCCAATCACGAATCTCTCTGCGCAAATATCTGCGTGAGGACTCATCTTTCCACCACACCACTCCACTGCCTTGAACAGGGTCGAAAGCTCGCTCGCCTCGGATCGCCAGGACAACACCGTCCTTTTCATCTTCATTTATCTTCCCTCCTCGCGAGTGTCTGGCCCTCGCGTCGTCCCTCGTCACATTGCCGCACACATTCACGACGAGGAGACCGTAGGAGCAGGGTGTTGGAGGACACATAGAGCATAATAACGAGGCATGAACATCGCGCGAACAACGCGGCCCGCTTTATTTCGCCATCCCCGCGCCCTGAAATATCTCGCGACCCTCTGAAATCACTTGCTAACTCTCGCCCCCTCCTCCCAATGCCTCTCTCTTGCTCGGCTTAATGCGCGGAACCGTAACTCGTTCGAGACTCGTCCCATTCGCGGGGAGAATGGATCTAACGTAGAGGAGAAACACGAAAATAGAATCTCTCCACGATTTCGTGTTGTCAACGAGATATCTGGAACCTTGCTTGTTGGTGGGTAATCGATCGAAATTGTAAAAATTGTAAACTTTTAAGCTTTCAATCTTCTGAGCTAGGATTCTTTTTGAGACGTTGGGCTAAAACGGAGATTGATACCGATGGAAGGCGACACTAGCGCCACGTGACCATTAACTACAGTAGTTGGTAGTTGAGATATTACTCGTGCTTGATTCGTTTAGATTGTATTTCTCACTTTTGAAAGTGGAACGCTTGGATGGAGATATTTCTTTTTTTTTTTTTTTCTATACATAAATTTCAATTTTCCCGGGAAGGAATACAATCAATTCCCAAAAGGTGGCGATAAACGAGGAAAGAAATTTCAGGGAGGGAGGGAGGGAGGGAGGGATCTAAAAACTGGCGTCGTCCGTTGGTCTATTCTTATGGGGGATGCAGCCCGGCGAAACGAAGCCATTTCGTGACAGCCGATCTATCAAACCAACCTAGATCGAGACTTTTAATACGCTCGAATTTCCCGCGAGAGTGACCCCCGCCCCTCCCCTCCTCCCGCGCAACCAGGGTTGGGCGGTGGATAGGCACGTACAATGGAATTATGGTTCCCCTATGTTCCCATTACTATGCCATCTACGTTATGCGTCTCTCTGCGCGCCCTTCCTCCGTCTCCTTTCGCCGCCCTTAACGACGCCCTTCGCCGTTTTATGTCCTTGGCAAATAATCTCCCTGTAACTGACCGTGTCCTCGCCTGGGGAGGCGAACGACCTTTGATCGATGCTGCCATCCCCTCTAATGCCTAGATACGAGCGCCTGTTTACGGACCATTTTGTTACGCCATCGTGTTAAACCCCATTAACTTTTGCGAGGAAAAGTGTGCAAAGTGGGCACGACTCGATTTTATTTTAATCGGATATCGAGCTGGTGGTGGACCACCATTTCGTTTACTTATTAACACTTATTGTGTGAATTTTTATTAAAGGTACGATTCGATTTTATTTTAATGGGAAAATGGACACTCTGGATGGTGCCATTTTGTTACCATTTGTCTCATTAACTTTTGTGAATTTGTAAGGTTGTATGATTTCGATTTTATTTTAATCGGAAGATTTGATTTTGGATCAAGAATATCGAAGGATGGATATTGATTTTTCACGAGTATGGTAAATAATATATAAATGTGCCTTTTTTCTTTTATTTGGAAAAGTTGAATGATCGTAGAACGGGAAATTTTTAGGATACGTTCGCGTGTTAATTGGGGAGAAGAATTATCTAACGATGGAAAATTTATGGAGAACCGCGAATATTGAAAAGTATTGATTTGATGTCGGTCTACATTGTTATTTTTGTAGGATAATATAAATCTTGCAGTGATTGTATTATAAATAGTTGTTTGACCTGAAAATTTCTTTTATAATCTGACTAAATTGGGATGTCGACTATAAAAATGATTGGACCGATATGGTTTTTATGAACCTTTATACGTATAAAATCTATAAATATTTTTCTTTTCCTTCGTACGACAATCTACTAAACACATTATTCCACGTTTCAAATAATAAAATCAAGAGATTCGTAATCGAATCTTGATCGCGTAACGTCATCGTTATCATCAATTGTTAATCGTCCTAACGCGAAATGTAATTTACAAATTGTATTAAACTAGATAGCGAACGCACAGTCCGATATTCGTGCTCTTATAAAATTCTAATGAAGATTTTAAGATTAATTGACGGGAGAACGCGACGGACCGTCTTATTCGATATTCGACGGAAACAATTCACCAATAAAAAGTATTTTATTATATCGACTCACCGCAACTTTTTCCACCATTTTAAAAACGGTTCAGTAAACTTTTCCCCTCGTATTTCCGATGTCTGATTACCCCATCCAAATTGACAATTGATCTTCAAACTTCTATTTAATTAAGAAAATATCGGATGATGAATGAATTTCATTGTATCAGATTCGAAACAATTTTTTCATTTTTTTCTTTTTTGTTTTCTATTTAAACTGTAATTACCGAGCAGATGATTTTAACCGTGAAATTTTTCTTGGTTTTTTTAGATCCGAATTTCAAGGAACCAATTGCCAATGTAACTGCTCCAGTTGGAAGAGAAGCAATTTTGTCTTGCGTGGTTCAAGATTTAGCTGAATATAAAGTGAGTTTTTTATTATATTTGTATTGCCATTCGATCGGAACGAATATCGATAATGATGAGATAATTCGCAAAAGACGAGAAGATTCTTTATCCTAAGAAATTCCTTACATATTTTCTTACATTTACAAGAAAATTAATTTTTTTTTTTTTTTAATTTTTTAGAACACGGTAGCAGAATTTTTTCTCATTTTCTCACCAAGCTTCGATTAACTAACAAACACTTCGAAAAAAAAAAAAAAGAATCACGTCACAATTACGCCTCTCCGATCAAATCAACCACTTCCACATTTCCAAAAATCGACGATTCGTGATCGAAAATCGTATCAACGATCAATATCAAAATTTCGCTCTCTTAACTCGATAAACTTTTCGTTAAATTTTAATCTTGAAACTTACTTAAAGAAGAAAATTAAATCTCTCTCTCTCTCTCTCTCTCTCTCTCCTTACACTTCTCGTTCGAATCGTTCGTGGAAAACTCGCAGCTCGTTCTAAAATAATAAGAAAGACCTTGTTGCAACTGAATGTGCAACCTGCTGCAACTTGCACAAATCCAATGCAAATGTTCGACAAATGCCTTCGATCCAAGTTTGAAGCGCTTATGGAAATCAAGGGGAGGGGGGAAGGGAACCGCAATTGGTGGCCCTTTCCACGGTTAATATGGCCATCATCGGCAAAGATATTCGAAGATCCGTAATTTATAGATCGGCGTAAATCCGGATTGGCAGCCTCAGCTCTCGAATTAGCCAAGATCGACGAGTTCTCGCGCTCTCTCTCGAAACGGCAAACACTCGGATCTTATCGGCTTCCAGAGACGGCATTCTTGCTCTTCGTATCTCATTCTCCTAATTAGCGGCCTCCGAGAAGCCATTATTGGATTGGGAACGAATTTTCCAGCGCAACTTCCATTGATCCCGTTGGTCTAATTTGCAAGATAAACAGCAGTGGAGTGGCACACGTGACGTTCTCTACGATTCTGTAACAAAATGTTCTAACATATCGCGTTGTACGAATCTGAAAACTATATATATATATATTATACGTATAGGATAAATTAAAGAAAGGCAGGTGAAATTGTGAATCAAAATTGCTTGAGATCAAATTCCAATCGATATTTTACTTCCTCTCCAGAGACAAGACCAGTTTCTTCAGTTTTATCTTTTCACTTTTTAAATTTTCCTCTTATATCTTATATATACACGAGTTGCATTAAATTTTACGCAAACGAAACGAAACGAACGGAAGAGGAGACACACGCGTGGATGGCCATTTTTTTTCATCAAGCCTCAAAAATTACACGAATAAAATCGGCAGTGTTCCCAACTGTTTCCACGAGAAATATACATTTCCATTCGTCCGCGTAATTTTGTTAATTAATTAACTAACTGTTTCACTCTGTTGGGCAAGGAGAGCGAAGAGGGGGGGGTTTAGTTGAAGCTCGAGAGATGGTCACGAGGATGGAGAGGGACATTCGCGAAGGAAGAGAGGGAAAGAGAGAGAGAGAGAGAGAGAGAGAGAGAGAGAGAAGAAAGAA